CTCCCTCTGACCTCTGCCTCCTTCCTTTTCTTCCCTTCGCATTCTCCCAGCTCCCTCCCCACTCTTCCCATGCTCTCAATTTGCTCAGGGGATCGTGACCCTTTCCCCTTCTCCAGGGGACAATGTTTGTCTCTTTTAGGGTCCTCCTTGTTTACTAGTTTCTCTGGCAGTGGGGGATCATTGAATTTAAGTTGTGTGGCTGAATACTAACATAGGGCAAATTACCAATCCTTTTAGCCCTCAGCTCTTAATTCTCTGCCCTCTATAATCAGAGAAATGTCTAGGCCTAGGCCCAGGTACATCAGTGGAGATGAGGACAACTACTGACAAGTTGCTAATATTTATAAGAATTCAGTCTATGGGAAACCAGCATGGGACTGATCTAGACCCAGGAACATGGGTTTCAGTAGGAAACCTCAGAAATCTACGGGACCTCCTGTAGAAGTTCAGTACTTATCCCTAGCATAGGTGTGGACCTTGGGAGCCCATTCCATGTGGAGGAAAACTCCCTGAGCCAAGAAACACAGGGTTGGGTCTAGGCCCTATCCCAAAGGATACAATATGACATACTCTGCTGACCCACTATGGAAGGCCTCACCCTCCCTGGGGAGCAGAAAGGATATGTGATAGGTAGGACTTTAGTTGGGGGGGGGAGGAGGACGGGAGGGAGAGGGAACTGACATGTAAAACAATCTTGTTTCTAATTCAAATAAAAAAAATCTGCAAAAAAAAAAAGAATTTAGAATGATCCATCAGTGATGGTGTCGATGAGGACAATATTATAAGTGGGGCATGAGCCCTGCATTACTGTTAGATTTTCCTTTGTCTATATAGTAGGACCTCTATGAAAATACCTCTAGAACGAACCATCAGTGATGGTGTCGATGAGGACAATATTATAAGTGGGGCATGAGCCCTGCATTACTGTTAGATTTTCCTTTGTCTATATAGTAGGACCTCTATGAAAATACCTCAGAGAGGTAGATGGGAGTTCACACTCTGTCACTCAGCATTAGTAAGGGAGGTGGTGAGTGTTGGGAGAGAAGAGCCGTGGATGTCACACTGGGAATCACTTTTTACTACTGCATTTACCACTTCTAGGAAGATCTTAGGTGAGTCTCACTTAACTTCTTGGAGTCTCCTGCCATGCAAGAGTCAACTGGAAATTTGGAAGAAGATACTTGGCAAAATGAAAACTTGTAGATATGAGAGCTATTCGACATGATTCAGATAACTCATCTTGATAAATAACCGGGGAAAGCACCATCTACCTGCGAGGCAGATGGCAGAACAGTGGGAAGCAGGGCTCGGGTTGTGGCTTGCTGTGCACCTGACAGTATGGGCATCTATCACCTGCTAAATGAAAACGTGAAACACACGTCCAAGCACAGGATTTGAGAGCATTGAACAAAGCAGTAAAATGGCCTCAGAAATATTAAGGTTGTTGTAAATGATAGGTGCTCTATTAACTGAACCTATATCCTTTAAATTTTAGAGTGTTTTATTTGTTTATTTATTTTGTTTCACATTTTGAGACAGGGTCTTACAGGCTGGCCTTGAACTCACTATATGAGCACGGTTTCCTTGAGGCCTTGATCCCCCAGCTTGGGGATTACAGGTCTGCACCACCATGCCAGATTTAGCCTCTTTTTTATGATCTTTTATTGGGGGAGGGGGTTAGGTTCTTTTGTTTGTAATACAGTGTTGCTCTACAATCCAGAGTAGCTTTGTACTAGCTTCCTGTCTTCGCATCTTCAGTGCTGGTATTATAGGCATGAGCTGCAATTAACTGCTGTCTTTAGCTGAAATCATATAACACACACACACACACACACACACACACACACACACACACACACACACACACACCCCTAACCCATGCACCCTAGTTTTATGATACATTTTAGGGAAAAACTCTGATGTAATTTGAAACTGAAAATTTTAACTGCAGGGGAAGCCCAAATTTCATATATTTCCTCTGTAGGAAAAGCAGCTCAATATTTCCAGAGGACATTTTCAGCAGCATTCTACTGACTTCTCACCATACTGGAGCCGCTCCTGGGTCACACCCATGCCGTTTGTATAGCTGGCTTCTGCTGGCCTAAGAGCTGGGCACACTAACAATTACTATATGCTAGAGGCTTTGACCCTGTGTATATTAAACACATTCAAGGAATGTTTTAAAAAACCATGATGCTCAGCTCTTGGGGTGGGGCCCAGCATCCTTTGTGCTCCCTAAAGCATTCCAGAGGATTCTAAGTTGCAACCAGGGATTAGAACAATTTGCCTTAAACGATAAGGGAACTGAAGTGAGCCTGTATTTCCAATTTCCTGCAGTTTTAGTTTATGATCAAAGGTCTCACAGAGAGGGGAGGACAATAAAGCAGTAATTCATTCTTACCTCGGCTCTTCAGTGTTACTGAACTACCTAGTGAGCTATTAGTCAATTTTCAAGATAATGGCTTTGTTCTATTTGAGAAAAAGAAATCAATGACTCTAACGACAATAAAAGGTCACTGGGTGTAAAGGCTCTTCAGCAATCCAGAATTAATCTTCACAAGTAGGTGTATGGTTGAAAGGGACCCAATTGCCTTCAGTAGGCAAATTATTGTATTTCATGCTAATTCCTGAATATAAAAAAATCCACTTTAAAGCTTAAAATAAACCCTTAGTGCTGTGGTGCTATAATACTCAGTATCTACATAAATAAAACACAAAATCTGCCATCTTTCCACATTCACTTCTGTTAAAGTAGAAGACACTGGGAATCAAAGCCTCATCACCGGGCCTCATGTCCATCTAAACTTGCTATTCCCATGAAGACACAGTTGTAGAGTGTGTGCATCCAACCGATGGATCTAAGCACACGGAGCCAGGAGGAAACGTTACAAAGCATTTTCACAGCCTCCTTCCCTATTCAACATATTCCATGTAGCTGTCATCATTTTCCAAAATTATACCCTTGACTGAGCATTTCTTATTTATTGGCTTTCAAATTTATGGCCCACCTATTTACTTTTGACAATCGTATTTCTAATAGGCCCACATGTTTTGAAGTAGACTCCTGTATTTTATGTCATTGCCACCCAATTCAACAAACAAGAACCAAAGCAAGGGTGCTTCTAATTCTGAGATCTGTAGTTTTGCCATTCCTTAAAAATAAAAGAGAAGAAAGTCCCACCGAAGCATTAAAAATGAAAGGAATAGGTTTTTTTTTTCCCCTCTGTGATGTATTATATTTACGAGAAGATACTAGGTTAAAAGATAAAAAGAGCTGCCACTCCGAGTGTTCTTGGTCCCCCAGGATGCTGCAAACCCCTGCAGGTTCCATCCAATGCACCTTCTTCAGACCCGTATTTGTTAAATATCAAAAGACACTGCATATGACCAGCACCCCGACTTTACCTCACACAATTCATTCTTACAAATTCTCCCTTCCTCCTCCTCATGGAAGGTGAGGGAGAAAAATCTCATTGTAACAAAGGAGAGATGGATGTGTGAAATAGGAGGCTGAATAAAAATGGCTGAAAAGCAAGCCAGGCTGGAGGGCGGCCACACCCAGTGCTAATGTGGACCGGTTCTAAACAACTCAGACCAGAGGGCAGCCGCCAGTGCTTTGTTATTTCCCTCCATTTATTTCACTGAAGCCCATTGTTAATAAATAAACAGCATAGGCTAATCCAATGACAGTCACAAACACCGAAATATTTCAGAGTGAACCACTCAAATAAGTGGCTACGCCATCATATTTTCAGAATTTGGAGACCTGGTCTGCATTTCCAGTCTCCTTTGTGTGATCACAAATAACAAGCCTGAAATGGGTGTGTCCCTCTCTCCTAAGGATGCCCTCTCAGTTAATGGCTCTGATCTCAACCTTTGGGCAGAAATAAATGCACTGGGATGCAGGAACAATAAGGAAGCACTTTAACTCCGCTGGCCGCTGAGAGATTAAACAAGTCCCGAATGATCAGGCCAAAAAAGCTCCCGGAGGGGGCAAATGATGCATTATTTACAATACCACAATACACAGGAAAACAAAGGGGTGAACTGGGAGGGGACAAAGGCGGCGGCGCGCGGGGGTT